GAGTCTATTATTATGTGTGATAGAAGAGGTACTTCTGTATGTTTGAAAAACTAATGGGAAATAATAATATAGATGAATATTTTGTCCAGAGCTGGGTTTAGTTGAGAAGAGTGGTAGCTGAAAGTTACATAGTGCCCACCGACTTGACCCAGGAACCTGCTGCTATTTAATAGCATTATCTCCTTCTATCTGCACCTTTCCCGTAGTCAGTGTGCCCTATATTTGTATTATTGTATTCTATGAAATACATAATTACTGATTTGTTATGCGCTGCATAGAACTCACAGGAAACAGTTTAATTTTTTTTACTTTTAAATCATACTTAACAAGCAGATTACCACCTCTCAGATTGCTTTAGTGTGCTAATGTAAGTAACTTGGCATTATCGCTTCTTTCACAGCAATCAAGAAGAAGAAATGATGAGGATGCTTGTGAACTGGGGCCCTTTGGCAGTAACAGTAGATGCAGTTAGCTGGCAGGATTATCTTGGTGGGATCATACAATATCACTGCTCCAGTGGAAGAGCAAATCATGCTGTTCTTATCACTGGTTTTGACAGAACAGGTGCGTTGCCATCAACTGAAATTCAACTCAGTAGGTTTTGTGGTTTTTTCTCTTATTTGCAACTTGCCTCCTGCAGGGTAAGTGATTGAAATCCAGAACTGGGTGTTCTGCTGGGAGCTGTTGGCTTGGTGTTACATCAGTTATGGAAATGCAGCCTGATCCCAGGAGAAAAACTTCCTGTCTGTGCTCCATTACTTCTGTGGGATTTCATGTCCTTGTAAAGTCAGTAAAACAGTTGTATGTGTCTTTACGCCAGCAGAGGATATAACCAGTCTGTTCAACACTGGCATATTAGCTCTGTCCTCCATGTGAACCACATTAGGTTTTCTGTACTGTATCATGAAACCATCAGAAACGATGAGATATTAAAATGGTAATTAATTCTGTAGAATGTTAGAAGTTTTTTATGCTTCCCAAATCTCATGTTATCTCTTGTTTATGAAAATATCTCTTCCAGGTAGTGTCCCTTACTGGATTGTACAGAACTCTTGGGGGCCCACATGGGGAATAGATGGCTATGTTCGTGTTAAGATAGGCAGCAATGTCTGTGGTAAGTCTGACAAAAAATAATTAGTGGTAAAGGCCACCTGCTGGGATATGTTTTTTTCTGTGTAAGCAAAGCAATATAATGGGATCCTCGGAGAGCAAATGCAAGTCATTGCTACGTTTTAGAAAAGGTTAGATGAATTCAGATGGAAAAATAAATGAAGCAGTTGCTAGTTCAACCAAGCCATCTACCTGAGTGATTGAAAAACACCATGGAAGGGTAATGCTATATAAGGCATAAAGTTCTATTGTACCTTACCATGTAATGTATACATTACAATGGATACATTACATAACATATACATTACAAGGCAAAGTATACAGTTATGTGTCACTGTTCTAGATTAATGCCATCACTACACTCAGTGTAGATAAATCAGTTGCTGCCCATGTCTGGTGGATGGAATTGTCTCTAGACTCAGTTTAGCAAACAAGTATGGAAGGTGGATCTGCCAGTACTTGGGAGTTGTGTACCCTGCTTGTGGCTTTTCTTGTTAAGATAGAGATACATGCTCTCAGTGCTACTTCCATCTCCTAGCTCTTACTGTTTGCATGTGGCATTTCCTGGTGCTTGAGGGGGGTTTTATCATGTTAAATATCCAGTTTCTTCTGAATTGCTGAGTAACTGCTGAAGGTAAGGCAGGTGGAGCTCCTGTTTACCGCAAAGACTGCTGAGCCAAATTGCTAGGATTGGACTATTAGTAAGTGTTGTGTATCCATTGATTCTTATTTTTTTTTTTCTTCTGTTAGATAAATGCTGGAGGTCTTCTGTTGGCTTTCATTTCCATGCATGTTTCACAGTAGCTCTCAGTCATTGTAAAAGGTGTTAAGAGGATGCAAATTATCTGCAAATAAGAACAGATGGTCTTCAGTTTGCCTACACCCAGTAAAGATCAGGACAATGTATCCCATCAGAGCTTTTCTATGTTGCTGAAACTTGTGTGCTTGTATAAACAATTTGGAAAGAGAAACTTAGAAGTAGTGGTAATTAAAGCAAGTGAATTGTAGGGCTGGTCAGGAAGAACAGATGTATTGTTTTCAAATTCTGTTCTCTCAAAAAGCAAGATCTTTCATGTTTTCTGTAGTGTCCCACACAAGAACAATCCAGCAAAAGCCAGCAGTTGCTTTCTTCCCCCCACACAGGATGTTTTCTGGTTTAGAGGTGCTCTGACACAACTTCTGAGGGTACAAGGGCTATCAACCTTTGCTACCTGTCACAGGCTGTAGTCAGACTTTGCTTTTAGTGCCTGGAAGGAGTACAGCAATACAAAAAGAACTGAGCATAAAAAAAAAACCTGGTTTGTTCTGTGTTTGTATGGGTCTGAGTGTTCAAAAGTGTGTCTAGTAATGGAATTTGTGATCTCTATTCTCTTGGTGAGCTTTCAAAGCTGCACAGCTTCATATTGTCTATACATTGCTAATGCATATGATTGAAAGGGAAGAGGATATCAAGGCTTAGGTTGCTTATCAGCACCCAAATTGGACCAATGCTGAATCCTTAGAAAGGATCTAAAGTTTTGACTGGGAAAGCAGAGGAAGGAGGAAAGTAGACCACAACTATAAACAGTGTCAGGCAAGGAAGAAATAAAAAGGTTGCAGCTGGTTTCCTGCCTTCTCTTGCCCCTCAGGAGTTCACCTGGTGTCCTGGTGCATAGAGAGGGTATTATATAAATATGAATTCTGGTAACTTCTTTCTGGCAAGTCTCCACTTTCAATATTTATTTAAAAATAATATTTTGTTTCATTTGTAGGTATAGCAGATACAGTTTCAGCAGTATTTGTTTGACACTTACTGGCCAAAGACCCCAAGAATCATTTGGACATACACTGTACATGAAGGTTTACTTCAAAACAACACTTTCTAAAATAAGAAATCTCTGTAAGGGCAACTCCTCCTTTTAAGCAATACAGGAATGGGTTGGCTGGAGTTTTTAAAAATGTTTTTATTTGGAATGTGGTGTATGTCGAATCTCTCGTGGAATAAGAAGACTTGGAATCATCTGCAGAGTATACAGAAAGAAGTTACAATGATGGACTGAAAATGCGAGTGTGATCTCTATCCAGGTGTTGAATATTACTCCATAAAAAAATCTTACAGGAAAGAAGTGATGATGAATGATGAGGAATTTGGATCAAATAGTCAATATTATGACAAGGTATAATTGAAATGCTTAGAATATAAGAACTACCATGATCAGGTCTGCTTTTATTGTGCAGGGAAGAAAGTCAGAAGAATATATTCTGTTTGATACTTGGCTTTTCTAGCACCTCTGACAGACACATACATTTTGTCTTCCTCCTTTTTGTGATATCTTACTCTTCCTCTGAAGTTGGAAGAATACAGGAGGGTAACAGATACTCAGCCTTGTTGCCTGAGCATCCAGTGTCTCTGAAATGCTGCAGTTCTTCATGTTCAGTCTTCAGACCTTTGTTGGGTAAAACTTCAATGCTCTTCAGAGCAGGGAATGTGTTTTGGAAAGTGCCTAGAATATCAGTCTTCTGCATTCATTTGTTAGATGGATAGAAAAGTAATAAGTAAGTGTATTTAGACAAAGAGAGGCAGTTCTAGTGGTTTAACATCCTATGTCCTGGCAGGTTGTATGTGTTTGCACTTTCTGTGCTTTGAGAGCTGTATCAGTTTCATGCCTTTTTTTCTTCTCTACATCATGAGTTACAGTGAAGCCAACTGCAAAGTACAAATTAAAAAATGTGCTTGCAGAAAAAATTCTGAGGGTGGGGTTTGTTAATACACCTTTAGAAAGTCAGTAATTACAGGATACTCCAAATAAAGTGGGGTTTAGATTTCCCTGCATTAATTAATCGAATTCATAGATGGGAATTGCTGGCAATCAGAAAAGAGATGCCAGGTTTGCTGGCCATAACTAGATTTCACAATCAAAAATGTAACCCTAAAATGCTCTGAACCTTTCATCTATTTTGTGATGTGTATATTTTGTGAAGCACCACTGTGAAAAATACTGACGCAATTCTGTAGTTTTTACATCCAATTACTGTACCATGTTACTAGATCAGTGTATTTATAATCTTATGACAAACGCAATGAGCATTCGTAATTTTCTGTTGTAAGAATTGCCATTTTAGTCATCTACTTCTAAGTGTTAATATTTTAACAGTTTACAAACAACAAATAGTACACTTAACTTCCATAACTGGAAAACAATAGCCAAAGTTCCCAGTTGGCATTGATAAGAGTGATGCTGTTATAGTAGTATCAGACACAGATTATTCCACTAGTGTTTGTGAAGTGTGTAAGTACCTAAGGCACAGAGCAACTCAGCAGAAGTTAGGCTAAAGTGTATGTATATTTCCAAGGGAAGTGATTAAGAAGAGGAGCCTCCGTCCAACACAAAGACTACACAGTTTTATCAATATTCTATTGCCAATTTGCCTTGATTTTATTATGTATCAATTTTATCCTTACTTCAGTGATATTTGAATAAAACCCACTTTAAATGGCTATCATACTGTTTTATGAACTTTACTCTTGATTTAGAAGAAGCATTAGCAGAAGGTGAGCTTTAATACCACTGTATCTGAAATGCAAAGTAAGTGTATCTGCTACTCTTAGTGTTTCTACATTCACTTGTAGCAGATAGGAACATGATATTCAAGGCCCGCCTGGACAAGTTCCTGTATGATGTACTCTTAGGTTACCCTGCTCTTGCAAGGGGGTTGGACTAGATGATCTTTTGAGGTCCCTTCCAACACTTGGGATTCTGTGATTCGTGTTGTATGTAAAACTTCAAGATGCTTGGGTTTCTATGGATTTGGGAATTATTTTCTTAAATCTAGCTTTTGAAACTCTTAGCACAAAATTCCCTTTGAAATTCCACAAGAGCTCAGAAACTAATACTTTTCTGAAGGTGATAAGACTAATCATTAATTTATTAGAAGTAAATTAATAACAGCCATTAGGCAAACAAATACAAAAATATGTACAAATAAGACATGATCATAGTAATTCTGTATAATTTGCTGTAGGTTTTAAAAACATCCAGCTATAGGTTTTAAGAAGCCAGTGAAGAAGTAAGTTGGTCATTGAGTTGAATTGGGGTATCATTTTAGTCTTAATATAGGTTAACGCAATATGGGTTATTTTTTGTACAAAAATTAAGATTCTTCCACAAGCCAATCATACTATTCACATAGCTGTCATACATAAATACATATTTACATGCTCACACTCTATGAGGGTAGCTGTTACATTTGAGGGACAGCACCACTGGAGGTGAATGTCCTGTAGTTCTCTACAGCAAAGAGTCCAGGGAGGCAGGCTAGTCAGAGTCATCACTGCTAAAATAGGAGCTGTCACAGTATTCTGCAGTATAAAGGAATTTATGAATGCTTGGGTTCATCTTTGGTATCCAGTGTCTTGGCACTAAAAACGTTGAAAGATTGAACAAATCCACAAACACCTTGTATCTGTCACTGAAAAAGATAATCAGAACAATTAATGCTGTGGTATTGTCAAGGAATGTCATAATATCAAAACTGTCAGGAATCATTCCATCTCTATTATTTAATGAGATTTCTGCACTCCTCTTCAGGATTCCAGAGTAGAAATACAACTCTAACTGCTTATAAGGCATATCAGATCAGACTTAAAAAGGAAACATGGTTGCATTAGTCACATTCTTCTCCTAAAAATGCAGTGTGTAGGCTATAATCTCCAGACCTCCACTCTCATAGTAGATACAAAGTAGAATATACCTAGGAAGAAGGTTAACTTGAAAGCAAGGAAGAGTGAGAAAGCTTGCTGAAAAAGACAGTGAATCTATAATCTTCAATGTAATCATCTGATTTCCATTCCACCCTCTGTAACAGTGGTTGTGAAGGGAACTGTTGCCCACAGACGACCATAGCAGTCACTGGCTACATACGGTTTCTCTCTGAAATCAAACCTCAAAGAAAATGTTCTAAAGATGTTTGCTTTTTTGACATAACGCTGTTCAGGACTATCAGGCCATAGTGGCAGCTAAAGGGACTGAATGTTCTAATTAGCTAAATCCTCTAATTTGTATAAAAAAGTCAACCCATTCAGACAGTTCTGTGCTCAGGCCCTGAACAACCCTTCTAAGTTCCTTTTCTGCTTCAGCAAAAGGAATCATACTTCTGATTACTGCCTGCACAGCTTGGGAGTGTTAATTACTGTCAGCTCTCAGAATATATTCAATCCTAAATTTAAGTACCTTATGTTGTACAATTAGAGGTTATGCTAAGAAAGGAAGTTATGCATCAATAGTTGCACACAAGCTGAAAAATGCAGGGTTAATTATTGCTGCTGTTACACTAATGCCTAGATCTCTTGAGTGAGAATTATACATAGCACTTTGCATGTGCAAAAAGGAGTTATTTTTGCCCCCCTAAGGCTTTAAATTTGTATATGTCAACCTGAAAAAACAACGTTACAACCACCAGGAGGAAATGCTAGAGTCCCAAAAGAGAAACAGCAGCTCTCCATCCTTTACTGAGCTACCTGAAACCTGTCTCCTGGCATTAGAGTACGTCTGAATGGCAGTTTTGCAGGTGATGGGGGAGTCACATTATTCTTACCTCACTGTTGAGCGCAAATACTGGTAGCCTGATGAGCCACCAGTTCCAGCCTTGCTGCCAATCATTCTGTGAACCATGCAGACATGGTTATCTAAGTAACATAAAAGAAAGTCAGGATGTATGTTCACTGTTAAGGTACAACAAAGGGTCACATCAAGGTGCATCACTGAAATATTAAAGATTCTACAGAGATCTTTAATATAACACTACTAGGTATTCAGCAATGCAGGAGTTAATTCTGGCACTCTTCAGTCAGCTAATATAAAATTATTGTTAATATAGAAAGAATACATTAATTCTTTTACATTATTGTGCTCTGTTAATACAGAATTAATTCATTTCTGGATGTCTAGATAGAGAAGGAGCAGAAAGAATGTTTGCATATGAGGTCTTCATGAGTTTGGGTAGGGCTTTGAGCAACCTGGTCTAGGGAAAGGTGTCCCTGATCATGGTAGGGAGATTGGAACTAGGTGACCTTTAACATTTCTTCCAACCCAAACTATTCTATGGTTCTATGATGAAATGACATGGTCACATTTTGGGAGACATTACAAAATATATACCTGCCACTTAAATAGAATTGTATGTCATAGAAGTGACAGCTATACCTATATATCTAATGACCACAGAAGAAGTTATTCATCTTTCCTCTTGCATGAAGTTTAAAAAAAAAACCCAGTCATTCCTAAAGGATGAACTCAGTTCAGTTCTGAAACTCTGGGCGTAACTTGTCTAAAACATGGTAAAACAGAGCAGTTTGCTTTCTTCTAAAAGAGGGAGCGTCACAATCAGACAGTGGGACTTACATCTCCATTTGGTCATGAGCACATCTATATCCATAAGGGAAGTAAGAAGCTGAAAGGGAACCTGAAAACGAGGCTCCTCCCTTGGAAAGAGAAGACAGCGGGACCTTTTACAATATGCTGTATTTTTCAAAGTAGCACTTCATCAGTGTATAATAATGACACAACATATACATTTTTCCTAAATTGGTATTGAAATGTCACTAGATATTCTAGGAAGTGCTTCTGCTACAGAAGCCTGAATCTGCTTTTCCCCTCATACTTGGAAAATTACTCTAACTCTTCCTAGAACGCTTTGTAGAATAGTCTGAACAAGGCATTTGCCAGTTACACTCTGAGGAGCAGCAGCTGGACAGACATGAACCAGCTGCCCAAAGAGGCCAACTACATCCTTGAAAAGATACTCAAAATTCAACTGGATTCATCCCTGAGCAGCCCAACCTGACCTTCAAGCTGGGTTTTGTCTAGGGTTGTACAAGCTTACTTTCCAAGGCCTTTTCCAACCTAAATAAATCTGTGCTGCTCTCTTTAACCTTCACCTCCCCTCCTGCCAGTATGTATTAATGATAGATCTTCTAACTTTACCTGTAGAAGTAGATCATTAGGGCGCCCTTCAGTGCTTTATAAGACAGTCGTCTTTCTCCTGCAAAATGCAAGCATCCTTAGTCTGTTATTGATTCTCTTGCAAAAGTAATGCTGTTATGTGTTTATATAGATCATGTATAAAAAAACTGAAAGTACACATTAATGAAATCTACCTTTACTAAGCAGGTGTTCATGGCGTTTTTCATCAAATAACGAAAGTAACACATCTTTCTGTTTTTGGAATTCAGATAATTCATCATCTTTTTCTTCTGATTCTGGTTTGGCCTTTGATATTTAAAACAAAAAATGGTTTTAGAATTCAATAGGGAAAATTAAGAGCTTGAATGACCCATAATGTAACCGCTATTTTCATCATAAATACTCTGTAAGTTCACATCAAAAAAGAGCTGTATTTTCAAACAAGATAGATGAATTGCTGAGTCACTGTCCTTTAAGAAACACAATTACCACAAAACGTCCTATTAAGTATCCATCAGCACAATTCAGATGAATGAATATTCAAACAAACTGGCAGCTTATCGCTTTTATTTGGGTCTAGAGGCCTTAAAAACACTTAATCTTCAAGGCAAAAAGAAGACAACCTTGAATACCTATGAGTAAGAAAATTGTAAATAAAAAGGTTTAGATAACAGAAATTCGTAGAAAATTGATTAATTCTTATGTTATGCCTTTTTTTTTTTTACCATTAAAAATCTACTTAAAGCTACAGGTCTTACAGTATTTCAGGGATTTTCTTTTGCTAATTAGCTAGTGTAAGTCAAACAATCACATAGCAGCAAATCGCCACATACTGTTAAACAGAAATGGACTGTTTATAGTAACATTCCATACTCACAACTCAGGGCCTCAAACTTCATGTTTACCCTCAACTGTAGATGCAAGTGCTAACTAAAGGTGAAGTTGTAGTTTCAGTAAAATCAATTTCAGTCCTTCTATTGATAGTATCATTTTCCTTTTGCTATCAAAATCATACATGTATCACACACTTTAAACTGTCTTAGATGTCAAATTACAAACTTATTCAGCTTTCCTGGGCAAAAAAAATGCAATTTTTTCCACTTCTTGCAGATTAAGTGAAGCAAATGAGCATAAAGTCAAAATTATGTCAGGATGTCATTTTTACCGCAACCTTTGCTTACAGCTAGATCAAGAGTATACTGTGTACCTGCAACAATGTAAATTCCTCTTCTAGACCTTTTAAAACATTCACTTCAAATTGTCCCCAGAAATCAAATCCTTCAGCATCGAGTCCTGGAGTTCTTTCCAGCCATGCCTTTAATAATAACAATAACAACAATAACGATAATAATGTGCTCAAGCATTAATAATGTAAGTACATTACCTTACAATTTCAAGCTGCAGCAGCATAAATCATACTGCTGCAGTTGTTCAGGTTTAATATCCCATTGAGGTGCTTATTACTTCAGTTAGCATACCCATGTAGATGATTTATACCTACATAATGGTGCCATGCAAACACATTCATGGGTTCCAGGTGAGGTGACTAGTGTTGAAAGACAAAAGCTGTGCACTATCTTTAAAACCAGCTTCCTTGTAGATACAAGATAACAACCCTATTCCCCATATACAGGATAATTGTAAAAATAAATCTCAGAAGGAAGGTGTAGAACTATCTATACAACCAGTTTCTATCGTGTCAGCTGAATATTGATCAAGCAGTCTTGTCATTAATTTCCACCATAATGTGATGATACAAGACAGAAACTTACTTGTCAGTTAACAAAGCTTTCTCTTTGCTTTTGTTTTAATAATGGGAATGAAATTCAGAGGGGAAAAACTAGGAACTTTTAAGGTCAAACTCTCTTTTGAGATCACTCTTCATCTCAAAGATACAAGTACATGAAGTCGTGACAAATGAAAAGAAAGCTAGAGAAATTTCTTATATATTCTGCATTAGGTGCCATTAGTCAAATGGCTAGGGCTAAGAAGATTGGATGCTTTTATTGAGGTTTATATTGCATTATTCTGTATAAAGTTATGTAAGTTTATGTATGAAAATGACAAGGAGAGAAATTACTGAGTCATTGATAGCTCTGAGACAAAGTGATTAAAACAAGGCAAGTGATAATGAAACATTTGTTAAATGTCTTTTCTCATTTCCTTTCTGAGTTTTTATTTTTCCTTTTCTTGTTTTAACCTCTCTAATAGCCATTCCTAATAGTGGAGATATTTTTAAAGGTTTTTTTCTAAAAAGAGTTTATGGTGTGAATGAAATAGTACATTTATATTCTTAGCTCGTAGTTCCACAACGCAATTTACTAGTTTAAGAATCAAACTTTTCAGACAAGAGGAAATGCTGTGAAAAATCAGTTGGTTTACTAACGACTAACTCTCTTTCATATAAAATTCGGTAAGAATCCAAGAAACTGACTGGGAAATTGCCAGCATGCTTGCTTCTCTCAAGAAAGAAGAATTTGTCACTGGCACCAATGAAGGACATTCTTGGGGGGGGGGGGTGTAAAAAAAAGGAAGGTCTAAGACAGACGTTGCTACCTCCACAAGTTGCAGCAGTGTTGGTTCTTGCTCTGATTGAAGCAGCAGTTCATAATCCTGTCCCTTGAAGTTATCACGATAATGCCTTCTGTTATAGGGGACTCTCAGACTTTGGGGAACACCAATTTTGTTCTCTAGCAAGCGGAACTGCAGGCTCTGAAAACCTGAGGCTGGGCTTAGGTAGTATCTTGGGGAACAGAAGAAAAAAAAAGATACAAAAAGACAGGATATTATTTAAAAATGATGAAGTTTTCTGTTTCTCAACAAAATAAGAAAACATTTCACATTTGAAGAATACTGAATAGATATTATAGAATAGTTAGGGTAAATCTGAGCATTTTTATATTATTTCATTAGGAGAAAAACAACCTATTTTATAATGCAACTACAATGCATGTATTTGATGGATGGACCACTCAGTGGATAAAGAACTGGCTGGAGGGCCACACACAAAGAGTTGTGGTCAATGGCTCAATGTCCAGCTGGAGACCTGTAACGAGTGGTGTCCCTCAGGGATCGGTGTTGGGACCAGTCTTGTTTAACGTCTTTGTCGCTGACATGGACAGTGGGATTGAGTGCGCCCTCAGCAAGTTTGCCGATGACACCAAGCTGTGTGGTTCGGTTGATACGCTGGAGGGAAGAAATGCCATCCAGAGGGACCTTGACACGCTTGTGAGGTGGGCTGATGCCAGCCTCATGAAGTTTAACCTTGCCAAGTGCAAGGTCCTACACCTGGGTTGGAGCAATCCCAGACAAAGCTACAGGCTGGGCAGAGAAGAGATTCAGAGCAGCCCTGTGGAGAAGGACTTGGGGCTGTTGGCTAATGAGAGAATTAACATGAGCCGGCTTCAGTGTGTGCTTGCAACCAAGAAAGCCAACTGTATCCTGGGCTGCATCAAAAGGACCATGACCAGCAGGTCGAAGGAGGTGATCCTGCCCCTCTCCTCTGCTCTTGTGAGACCTCACTTGGAGTACTGTATGCAGTTCTGGTGTCCTCAACATAAAAAGGACATGGAACTGTTGTAACAAGTCCAGAGGGGGGCCATGAGAATGATCAGGGGGCTGGAGCACCTCCCATATGAAGATCGGCTGAGAAACTTGGGGCTGTTCAGCCTGGAGAAGAGAAGGCTGCGTGGAGACCTCCTAGCAGGCTTCCAGTATCTGAAGGGGGCCTATAGGGATGCTGGGGAGGGACTCTTCATTAGGGACTGTAGTGGTAGGACAAGGGTAATGGGTTAAAACTTAAACAGGGGAAGTTTAGATTGGATATAAGGAGGAAATTCTTTCCTGTTAGGGTGGTGAGGCACTGGAACAGGTTGCCCAAGGAGGCTGTGAATGCTCCATCCCTGGCAGTGTTCCAGGCCAGGTTGGACGAGGGCTTGGGTGATATGGTTGAGAGCGAGGTGTCCCTGCCCATGGCAGGGGGGTTGGAACTTGATGATCTTAAGGTCCTTTCCAACCCTAACTATTCTATGATTCTATAACATATTCTGATTTTCTAGAGATATATATTGTTTATGCATACACAGATATAGGGAGACACTTATGTTTGTAACGTGTTTTAAATTGGCAGGTTTGTATGTGTGATGTACAGGAGAAAACATTAGTGAACATATTTTCCTTTCCAGACAGAATAAGTAGCTTCACCACGAATGACTACTACAGAAAATTTCACATCATTAAAGTGCCAATGAATGCATTTTAAATAGGCTTGTTATACAGAATAATTGCTATGTACACAAAAGACTAACATTCAGAAGAACATTTACTGCATTTTGTTTCATTAACAGCATTCTTTCAGAGTTAAATTGTGTGATCATGCTAAAATAACAATTAATAAAAGTAATCTGAAATCCCACAGGGCTAGATTGTAACGTACTTTGCATTGCAAGTACAGGATCTGGCAGAAACAGATCATTGATTTGATCTTATGTTTGCTTATCAAATGACAGTATGTGGTTGAAAAGCAGAAGCAAGAATGCATCACAACAGACACTTAGCCCATGGATTGCCCTGCTGTAGTGTGCTGGGTGATACAGCCAGTTTACATTTCCAAGGAAAGCAAAATTGTAGTTTTGTGTGCTTTTTAGCTAAGGAGCATTAAAAATTTACCATGAGCTCTAAGGATGGGAATTATCAGTTCACAGATTACTATGGAGGAATACCAAGTATTTACCTGAAATCGAAGAAGTCCAATGCAGTCATAGTTTCCAAAACTGAGAACTGTTCCACAAGTAATTTCAGAATCATTGAAATTCTATTTATTCTAGTAATAACCTTCAGCATGTTCCTCTCATCTCTTACCTGTAGAAACCATAAATATCATAATAAGAGTGGTATTCTCTTCATATCCTATTTATTTCAAGTCTTTTCACTGTTGTACAGCACTATAGTTCCCAAGTCTTTTCTATGTGAAATCCATAGCCGCAGGATCTCATCTTGAATAGAGAGCCCTGTTTTTAACTGAAATTTGAAACTACAATTTTCAAAGATTGAAATGTTTTTCTCAGACTGATGTTACAACTATGCCAGACATATAGTTTGTTTTTTTCTTTTCTACCTTTTTGACTGAGATAGAAGTCACCACAAAAAATTAAACTGTAGACTGAAATAATTTATATCATGATCATTTCCAATTACTAAAATCCAGTTTTAATGGTACATGATAAAATATAATCATGCTTTCTATTATAATTGCTTCTACAATCATTTCTATTATTGTGAAGGAACAAATCATAAGGCAGATGTGGAAAGTACTTAAAAGTTGAGAAACAGAATAATCTCAGAGGTACACATCGGGAGAGCACATCTAAAAAGATATTCATTAGAGACACGCACTAGCAAGCAGAGGAAAGCAGGGATGACTACATCTGGTGGGAAATATAAAATATTAAATGGAAAACACAGAAGCTCTCTTCTGGCTAGGTTGAATACTTTGCCTGAAGGGGAGTCTGCTAAAATTCCTATTAGTTTCAGTGGGATTAAACTTCTCTCTATGCCCTGGGCATGCAACCATTAAATATCAAGCTACAAAAATGAAAGATGATAAGCCTTTCCTTAATTGCCTGGCTGTGTACTTAACCTTAGCATTGACATTTCAAATTCTGGTTATAAACAAAGTTTTGTTTTTAAAACAAATAAATTATGAAAAATTTTTCGGCTTAAGAACAGGGTTTTGTCAGTTATAATTTGATACAACGTTCAACTAAAAAGCCAACAAAATTATGAACGTGGAGGACAACAGAGAACATTTTCATTGGACATTATGATAAAAACGCTCCTTCTTTCAGTCATGTCTAGTTGCAAACTTTCTTCATAATCACATGCTTTTGATGTTATTTAAGGTATTTCTCAAGTTACATGCAGTCAGCCTTTTTATGTGGATGCAGTATCAGGCAGGACTTTTCCTTTGTTATTTATTATTATGAGTTGTATGCGGCTTTGGAAATATGTTTGGAAATGTTCAAAGTATTCCTGTTATATTTGTAATTTTCAGAAATTCTCATAAAATTTTATGCTGTAATTTTTATTATTGCTTTTCTGATAGAATTAAAATATTCAACTACCAAAAAGAGTTTCCCTTTTGTATAGCAGATATTGGATGGAAGGATATAGTGTGTAGACATCAAAAAACTGAACAAAGGCAGAAATGACTTTTCAGCATAAAAATACCTGGGAGCCCTCTGGTTTTCAGTTTTGCCTCTGAGTATGCCTTTTCTGCAGTAGAATATTCTCAAGTTGTTTCTGCTGTTATTCAGTACTAGTAGGAGAGTATAAGAGCCTTCTGGCCAATGAAATTGGCCATGAAGTTTGATCTGCACAAAAGGCAGACTCCAGGAGGGAATAAGGTTTTGCTGATCAAACACCTGTTCTATCAGGATCTAAGAGCCACTCTGCTAAATTTCATTACGGTCTTTGTGATGCTGTTTTTAAAAAGAGCACATGTTGCTTCAGTAAACCCAAATCTATCAGTCTGAAAGGCAGGAGGCAAGAGAAATAGAGGGCTGCATTTTCCCAGAATTAATATTTGCCTTTAACTTACATGGCCATTTTGAAAGATAACCCTCACAGAGTCCATTTCCCACAGAATCTGCTTAAACCAAAGTTCATAAGCTACAAAAAGAAAGGCATCATTAGCATTAACTTCAACATTATATTGCTTTTTCTTCATAGCATCTTACATTTTGATTTGAAATGAATAGCCTACATTTACACAGCTGGTGTACAAAAGATGCTGATACAGAAATGCATTACCTGTTACAGGATGTTGTCCTCTACCTAAACTGTTACAGGAAACAATCTAGCATTGAAAATGTCGACAGAATTTCTAAAGTGTCTTTTACACTGGAGATATTTCATGTACAGGATGTTCATTACAAAAGGAAGAAACAGAAAATCTAGATCTGATCCAATAAAAGTTAACTCCAGAGCTGCTTACAATCTTTATGTCACCTACATGTTTTCTGTTAATAACAGGAAAATAGCATTAGGTGAGTGCCTGCAAAACGCATATATATTAACAGTTAGGGAGCACCTAACCAGTGTGCTGGCTTCTAAACAGACTCCAGATGGTTAGAACTGAATTGAAGTTTCAGAGAAGGCACAAGCCAACGCACAAATTTGCCTACAATAAACTCCATAGAAGTCTATTACTCAGATGGTGAATGAATTTTGCTACTTTAATTTCTCTAGAAACAGAATAGTCCAAATTGTGATTTACCCAATCTAAAGATTATACTTACGGCTTCATAAGCATAGAGTTGATTACAGCCTTACAAATTATACAGGGACATATACAAATATAAATACAAAGCAATTGTATTGATTGTGTCTCAAATGAAAACAAACTCTGTATTCCATGTTGGTCAACCACCAGCAATGAAATCCTTCCAACCACTTACCTTGATGTGTTACAATGAAAAGATGCTCATCATGGATTTGCTTTCCTTTCTTCTCACTTTGAAGTTCTTGAGCATTCAATATTTTGTTCAGCTTAAAAATAAAGATAAGACTTTTCTGTAAAGCTCTCAATTCTGCTATTAGCAATGGTAATTCTACTGTGTAGAGCTAATATTTAAGGATATCAAATATATATCGGACTCATAGAATCATAGAACAGTTAGGGTTGGAAAGGACCTGAATATCATCTAGTTCCAGCACCCCTGCCATGGGCAGGGATGCCTCACACTAGACCATGTCATCCAGAGGGCTCTGTCCAGCCTGGCCGTGAATGCTGCCAGGGATGGAGCATTCACAACTTCCTTGGGCAACCCATTTCAGTGCCTCACCACCATTACAGTAAATAACTTCTTCCTTATATCTAACCTGAACTTCCCCTAAGTTTGGATCTGTTAATTCTTGTCCCATCACTACAATCTCTGATGGAGAGCCCCTCTCTATCTCGCATCCTTGTAGGCCCCCTTCAGATACTGGAAGACTGCTATGAGGTATGAAAAGTTAAACTAAATGGTCTCAGGTGGCACTTTTACTTTTTAAAAAAATCTTGCCTAAAACGGAACATTTAGATACATCAAGTAATAAGGTTTGGAAAATCATTTTAAGGATATTTTTAATTATGAAAAAGGAGAAAACAAAATATCCATCCTGTTTTCCAAACCTTACCGTCTATGCTGTCATGTTCCATGACAACAGAGCTCCTATACTAAAATTCTGTGTAATCATATAATAATCTCCACAAGAGCTCTTAGTTGAGGCTCTACTAGCAGTTTCATTTCTGGCATTACTGATTTTTTTTACTGAGTCAAGTTTACAGTCTAATCATAGTTGTTTTAAAAGAAATCTTTGCAAGATTCCATATCATATGTCAACATATCAATCTTCTGTTCACAAGCACAGAGTAATCTCACTTAGTTCATTATGTCACTAAAAGGCCCCACTCCATAATCTTTTATTACTTACAGCATTTCATTTTTACTTATTTCTTAATTACTGCTAGTTGTGGCATTTTTTGTTCAGTTGTTTGGTTGGGGTTTGGGGTTTTTTTTGGTTTTGGTTGGTTGGATTTTTTGCGTGTGTGTCCCCCAGTCATCACCCTACCCCCCTGATTTCTGCAATATATTTTTCCAGCCAAATGTTCTGGGCTTTCATGCAATAATTCGGGAAAGTTGCCCACAGCCTGCTGACATGGAGAAATTGCCAAGTGGTGGTTGTCAGACCAAAGAAAGACTTTCTGGTCACCACTTCACAGTTTAGGCTTACCAATGTAAGTAATTCCCTGCAGTTTGAGAAGCCATACCCAGTCCACCGGACCCATCCCAGTTGAGAAAGGCAACTGTGCCCATGACTGCACATACAGGCAGATGAAGGGCACTTGTAGACCTGTCATAGTGTCTGACTGGTGGGAGAAGCATCAGTCACACATCCTGGCTCAAGTCTTAAGAGCAACCAGGGCAGTAAACATGAAAAACTTACTTGTAGGTATTCTCCATAGACAAGTCCACCTTTGCTAGCTTTATTTATTCCTTCTTGTGATTTGTCATCTTTTTCATCTTCCAAAGACAGTTTGCTTAAGTTAAATCTAAGAAGAAAATTAAGTAAATATGTAAACTATTTAATTAAAGAGCTATCAATATACCTGCCTCTTTACTAACAGATGTATCTACAATTCAAATGCTTTGTTTTGAGAAACCAAACCACTAAAGCAGACAAAGACCAGTACACCTGAAATACCTCTTGTCACACTGACAGCTGGTAGCATTACATCTACTTCATCAAATAACAAGTGTTCAGACAACCTTTTCCTTTAGCGATAGCTACAGTTGTCTATTTATTGACAGTCATTAATTTCTCTCTGAGTTTTCATATTTTACATCAACATTCTACTGTTTGAACTGATGTTATGAAGCAAAACACAGGGATGAGGGACTCACAGGTAACTGTTCCCTGCGAAGGGGCACCCGCTCATGATTCCAGGATCGAAACTCGCTGAGCTGCGCACTGGTAAACGTACTCCGTTAGTGTTCCCAAATCACTGCAGCTCCCTTATATGTAACCTTACCTCATTGCCTAAGCCAGCCCTTAAACTCTCCTCAGCCTATCCCCACTATCCAGTAATTCCAGAAACTATCACAACACAAAGGTCAGTAAGTTCATGTGTTGTTGGCTTTCCAGATTTGGTTTGGATTTCTTTCAACCAGTCAAACCAGGAATGCCTGGTATACTTGCTTTGTCCTGTGGCACACGCTTTACATGCTTTTTACTGCACATTTTCCACCAGTTACTTCTTTGAAGATTAAGGCTGGTGTTTGGGGTAAGTTAATGAGAGGTGCGTATGTGAGAAAAAGGCAATATTTAATAAATGTAGGAATTGTTAAAGTAAGTTTTTAATTGCAGACCCCTGTATCAAGATATCAAGGTACTTTTAAGTTGAAAAAATGAAACATGGAAAAGGAAAGGGAAGAGGAAGTAGAATGTTAGACTGAATAATGATTGTAAGAGTGTTCAAGTGATACATATACTTTCAAAAAATGCACACAGATTAAGTAAAAGCACTAAAACTAATCATGTACATCTCATGCTGGTTTTCCAGTTGTTTAACTCATGGCAATTTCTTGATTTTGTTTCCTCACGCAAAAGTTTCACTTATTGACAAATGTTACTCAATTCTATTTATTCATCAGCTTAACACACAATGATGTAACATAACCAGTGCGCACTTCTTTCCTGCCTGCCAGCCTTCTCTGAAAACAAGTTGATGCTCAGTTTTACAGCAAACAAAGCTGCAGGGCCCCCATGACCTGAGACCATTTGCTCTCTGCAAGACTTGTTCTCCTTAATGGTGACTGTGTCACTTTCAGTAGTTCTAGTCATTTCAGAGTACTTGGCTCATTAAAAGTGTCATACGCAGTATGTGGGTGATGGAATGTGTACCCTGCTCAGCCAGATGCCGTACGTCAGGCTGTACAAATATTAGCTTAAAACTAAGCTGAGCCACAAGTAGGACTCCACTGAGGCAACCCATCAGGCAAGGTCAAGGTGATCCTCCTTCAGGATATAAAACTTGTCAGAGGAAAATAATCCTCTCACCACACACATCTACACATCTGCTCAGGATGGAGGCAAGTAGAGATGAAAATGTAGACCATGCACTGGCACATACAGCAGAAATAAATGCTGAAAACTGTGCTTTTCACCATCCCATTTGCACTCAAGAAGCTTGATGTACATGCTGGTACCTCTCACATGCACAGACATCAAAGACATGGACAAGTAATGTTTACCTTGTCATTTCTATACACCTTCACCTGAAACGTCCAGTCTGAGCCTCCACAGTGAAATCAGAATTTTTGTTACCTTTTCTCATGGCAGAAGCAAAGAAAGAGTGTGAACCTAATAAAAAACAAGAGTAATTGAAAAACATCGAACTCTTAACCTCACCAAAGAAGTTATCCATTTTCTTGTGGAGTTTTAGTTTCTTCTGTGGGATACAGAGAATAATAAACTTCCAGAGCAATGGTCTCTGAAATTCAACCTTTACATTGTCTACCCAGCAGGCAAAGGACTTTGAAATATCAGAGACCTTTTAAACTCTGTGCTTAACAAAACATTAACTCCCTATTTGGGAAGTAATACTACCCTCAATTGGTTCAGGGTTACCAAATTCCCTCAAAATCTAGCTGAGGATACTGTCTGAAGCAAGCACTATACTCCTCCCTCTGATTCAGCAGCAGACGAGCTTCAGTCAATCAGATCAGCCAGACTACAACAATTTAGAAAGTTATTTCCAGTATTTCCAACATGTTCAAACTCTGGTTAGGTGTGTGATAGCTGATTGGTTCCAAAGTGCCTCCATTCTAAAAACCACCAGCCTAGTAACTCTTGTGAAACTTGACAACCCAAATCCACCTGCATCTGCATTCACATCTCATCATTCTTGCTCAGTGACCATGGTCGCTTTCTCCAGTTCAACCCCCTTGAGCTGGTGCCATTAGAAAGCCTTGCTATCCCCAGGATCCTCCTGCAGAGAAAACATTCACAAGTGTGTCTGAATCCTTATCAACATTTGTTTTCCATCAGCTTCCCTTGTAATTCACTAGCAACCAAGAACCTTAAGGTATACATGAGAAGATTAAAAAATATGATTCTCCAAATCATCAGAAAACTGCAAAGACATTGGGGAAAGTAACATGAACCATTTGTTTCAAGCCCACACTTGGGCCATAAATACATTACTCTACTGAAATAAATGTTCAATCTAAAATGTACGTTAAGTTCAATCAGTATGATCTGACACTGCACTGCAGAATTTCACTGTGATTTAACAGTCCATGTTTCCCTATGAAAACTAGAAATGTTGAGATTGGCTTCATGTTAATTTGTTGAACAAAAGCCTTACCTATCCCTGCTTCACTTCAAAACCAAGCAAACCAAATGAGACCACCAGATTCATGCCTTATAGAGAGAAGCAAAAACAAGTATGGGACTTAAAGCTTATAACTCCTACCTGCACCATGTATCTACCCAGAGCAAACTCTGTAGACTGATCATTTCTGGAACAGCTGGGTGATATTATGGATAATATCATCCTCGACACCATGCAGGGAAATTTAATCTCACACTAGCTGAGTTCCGCTCTCTAACTATTCCCCAGCTACAACAGATCTCAAACTATCCAAGATCAATGGAAGAAAAGGTCTTAGTGAGGACTTGAAAACCCCTGCAATAAAACCACAGACAATACAGAACTATCATTCATTCATCTTACTGGCAGCCTTCACCGGATCTCAGCAAGGCTTCACAAGTCTGTAATGAACTTGGTACTAAGCCAATGTTTAAAAAGTGACTTGTACTACAAAACCATGAAACTGTCTGTTAGCAGCGTAGATGACAATGCAGATTAAAAGAGCCTTCAGGGCTGGGTCAGCTCAGAGCCCTAAACTCTGGCATGGCTGTGAGACCCTTAGAAATGAATCTGCTTCTGCCATGCTGCTCAAATTTGGGACTCAGTGTAGGGACCTGATTTCTGAGAGAAGCCTTTATGCCCTGACAGAGATTTTACAGCTGCTTTGCCATCTCTTTATACTAGCATTACCATAAATGAGTCTTGACGCAAAAAGCTCTTCCGTGTGAATACATCTGAAAGCAAAACACAACCTTCATTTTAACTGACAGCATTACTTTTGTTTTTCAGAATGCACCGTCATTTCCCTTCCTCATGCTGAACCCTCAGAATCACATAGAAGCAGATGTGATTCTGACTGTTCAGCATGAACGCACGCACAACTTGCTGTTCGTGCTGTGAATGGCTGAGCAAAGCCATGAAGACCAGGAGTGTGTGTATGTGGCTTTGAGCTTTTATTTAGTTGTTTATTTACTTCTAAAGCATGAAAGTCAGACAGAAAGACTTATGCTCATCCCAGAAACCTATCAAGAGAATTCTGACCTTCAGCAGACAGTGAGAATGCTCTGTTTCATGACTGGGCTGAATACAAGACCAACACAGCAGAAAAAAACCCACGGCTTCACAGAACTGCACTTTGTGGCCTTCAAATGAACTGTCACGGCCTTCATGACCAGCATGGGGATTGTTAAGCACACTTCTTAATCCACCCTCATCCCCTTTCTGTTTACCTCCCCTTAACCAGGTGGACATGGGGTGGCTGAGCTAGCTTCGCTCATCTCAGCTGCAACAGGGTTGCAGTGTGGAGACAAACTGAACTTACATAGAGAGAAGTGATTCATTCATACATACAAAAATGGAGCCTCCTTCTAGTCTGGCCAAGGCAAGGTTTGATGAAAGGTGGAGGTGGCCAGTAGCATATTTTGTAGATAACAGGTGGAGTCAAGAGTCTCTGTGTTCTTATTGTGTGGGGCTTTATGTCTAAAATATTAGTCTGATGAGGACAGGTAAGTAAGAATGACCGCCTGTGTATTGTCATGAATCCAGCAAGTGTTAGATTAGAAGTGATTAAATTAGAAGTGACTTGTTCACCTAAGCCAAATCTCAAGTTATCCCATATGAAATCACTTATGGAGGAAAAAACAAAAAGACCAAGGCACACACAGATGGTTTGGATGGTGTCACCAACTCTTCTGATCAAAATCTCATTCTGATTACAAAATCATCACAGATCAATGTGTTTTTGCAGTGTTCATTAACTTGAACAATTTGCTTGGGGACCTTCTGGCTACAAACAAGTGACGCTTGGAGCTTCCCAATGTTTGTCCCAGAATTACAGACTATGAGTTATCCATCACAGATTGCTTCTACCTACAAAACAGTGGCTTCAGTGAGTTGGATAAGAGTTCCTAGTAGGTCATGCCATGCTGAGGAGTGTGAGGAGTTTCTACTAGAAAATAGCAGATTGCTTGGAAGAGGTGTTAGAACAAAACAAACAATAAAACATTCAATAGCAAATAAAAAAACAAAAAATAAAACAGACCTAAAAAGCAAGCTTACAACGAGATAATTTCCCTGGTATATCCATCTAGCTTTCCAATATTGATAGCCCAGGACTTCCTAAGATACCCAGGTCCTTGCACTTAAAAACCCTTCTGTGAATCCACAGTCTGCAGCAATGACTTCCATAATTAAAGTGCATATCAGATGAAAGAGTATTTCCCTGTGCTAGTTTCAAACTTTCTGCCAAGTAATCAAGTAATTTTCATTTCTGCTTGGTAGTAAGTCATGGCTTATGATCTTATGACAAATAACTGCTATACCTTTATCCCAGTCACACTCTTCTGCACTTGTGCAGATTCTGTTGTGACATTTTTGAGGTGAAGCATTCAAAAGGCATATATCTTTTCAATGTATAGATGTGAGCATTGTTAGCTCCATAAAATCATGGCAATTAAAAAAGTTTGGACACCAAATGCACAACTATAATAGTGAAATGCAGTACAGAAGCTATTGGTATGTTTTGGTTGAAAAGGTACAACTCAAATTGCACAGCATAAGTCAGACCCTCACTGCGTAGGCTGCTTGCTGTACAAGCACTGAACCAAAATTACTTCCCCAGCTAGTGTAATAAAATAACAAGAGATAGACAGGTGAATAAAGACACATAA